TTGTTTTGGCTTGGAGTACTAGGTAAGTGTTTATGCTTTAGCATCTTGCAATGAGTGTGAATATTGCCATGATAGCATGTTTGCCATGAGACTATTTGCTTAAGTGTTTAACTGCCTAAATGCCTATGGGTGAAGGTTGGATTACTTGAATTGGAACAATTAATTGAAATGCGAGTTTTAAGCCCATTTGAGAGTGGCAAAATCATGTTTTCTAAGCCCACTTGAAGGTGGCAAATCCACGTCTTAGCCTACTTACGAGTAGCACCTTCAAACCATTTTCAAACAAACATGAGATGTTTTTTTCCAACTTAGGTGATCTAGTCTATACTTGTATGCTGTGCGCATCACATAGTAATTCTAGCTAATGAACCGGAATAAGAACACATGTGTTTTCAAAAATAAAATATCATGTTAGTAAAGGCCGATCTTTGATCGGGCGAGCGGGGGTGCTCATTGCATGACCTTTCCCTCTCGTACCCAAGTTCCCGAGCCAAGACAACTTTGGTGATGACGGACATGTGGCCTTAGGCACGAGTCAGGGTTTCCTAAATTTCCCAAAACAAAAACATTTAGGTGGCGGCTCTGTATCTGGCAAAGCAGTCCATGTTTGGCACTTCTTTATAAAAATCAAATTTCCAAAAACGATTTGCTGGATTTGGACTCTTTGGTGATTTATCGGTCTTGCATTGCATTTTGTGAGATTAGATTCAGAACCGTGACATTTGAGTCCAAACTGTAGCAGCTAATGAACAAAACGGATTTCGCGTCATTTCGCGCGCGGAGCCGGGACGTTCGGGCACGTCTACATGACCCCACAAAGTTAAAATTGGTGGTATTAACCTGCTACAATTAAGAGAATTTGTTAGTATTGAAATCAAGTTATACTAAACACAAGTATACAAAATACTTACTCCTCATTAATGAGTACAATTTCTTGTGCAGTTGTGGTTTCATTTTCTGTTGTGATTGTTTTTGGTAGCTTAATTTGAACAACTGCTGCAAGAATATCTGTTATAGATACAAAAACAATAAGAGTATATAATGAAAAAGTAAGTTGATAATTATTTATGTTGATCTAGGAAAATTACCTATGGATGATGTTTCATTGCCAAGATGGTCAGCAAATTCATTGAATGGTGATATGTTGGAGCGTTGTTATCTTGATTATTGTTTTCAACATCTCAAATAAGTGTGCTGGCAGTGATTGTCCATTGCCATTGCCATGACTGTGGTGTGATACAATATTTTTCTTGTAGCAACTTCACAGCAGCATTTGAGACATAGTATGAGTTAAAAACTTTCAAGGTATCTTGGAACTGTTCTATTTGACCTTCATAAAGTATAGCTTGTACTTGTGTACCCTATATAAGTGGTGTATATAACAGAAGTTAATGAGGCAGTGGATTATGTAATTATAAATTAAATGAAAATTGTTATTGTTAAGAACCTAAACAATGAATATGGCAAATATGGTATATATATTTGAAAGTAAGAATTTCAATGTAATAACCCTCACACTGTCCTAACCATACCCATATGCATTCATATGATTCTGTCTTGTTAAGTGGCATTTCAAGTCTTGTCCTTGTTCGCTTAAGTGTTACAGCATGCTTTGTACCTTGCTCGGTGTGGATTTAGCCGAGGTCACCTTGAGCCTAGGTCAGTTTTAAACCTCTTGCATCTAAGACCATCTTGGAATTTACTTTGGTTGACTCCACCTTCGCTCTGACATGTTGGCTGAGATGTCACTATTTGGCCGAGGTGTTCATCGCCGAGGCTGAGATGTGTATTATCTAAGCCGAGATGTTACCCTTGAACCCAGCGACCTTACTCCTGGATTGGTACGACCTAGACCGAGGTGTGGCACATCTAGGCCAAGGTATGGCACAGCTAGGCCAAGTGTTGTCCTTTCTAGCCAATGTCCTTGCCCCTTTCTTGCCGAAGCCTTGTTGTTAGTCGATATCGTTACTTGTCGAAGTGCCTTTGCCACCTAGCTTGTTGAGTACACTTTGTCATAGTCTTGTCTTTTCACTCAGTCACTTTTTGAGGAGAACCAACCAACCGTTGCCACGTGCCCCTGCAGAGGGTTAAGTCAGTCGATAGACCCAGAAAATATACATTTTTGTATTATATCTTTGCCTTGTAGAGAGAGAGAAGCTCTAGGAAGAAGAAGAAGTTTTAGAGTGAGAGAGTGGGCTTTCGAGCTTGATTCCTAGAGATCAAACCGTTAGATTCGTGTATTGAGGTTAGATTCTTGATTTACTCTTGTTGTTCTTTGTGTTTATCTAGCTGCATTGCACGATCGAACCTATTCTGCACGTCATGCATTGATTTAAAGTTGGTTTTAGAAAGAGAAAATAGTGTTCATGTGTTCTTGAGAAAAAAGTCTTGTTTGATCCGAGAGTTTGCATTAAGATTCATGTTTTTGTGTTTGTTCTCACGAGATCCTTGAATATGGGTACCCAGGTCCATGTTTTTGAAATCATAGCATGGAATCTCAGATTTTGTAATAGCAAATTATGATCTTTGCATTCACCTTCCTCATGTTCATGTTCTTCATGTTCGTCATGTTCTTCATGAGAGGGAAACCCAGACTTTCCCGACTTCATTTCCTTGAGTGTGGCCATCGGGACCACACCTCGGTAAGGTGGTGTAAGACCTCAGCCTAGACCTGGTGGTTGCCCAGCATGTTTTCCTGAGATAAGAAACTGTGTTTTGTTTGATTCGACTTAGTTTTGAGGAATGTCGAGATCATCTGCATGCATGTGAAACTTGTTTGAAAGTGCATTCAACAGACTTTGCCATGTGTTTGTAGGACTTGGACTTGCCTTGACCCCGACGTTTGAAGAGCTATGTGAGTGGTATTTTTAATAAAGCTATGTTATAATACTTTGATAAAAGCCTTGTTTTGTTTTGTTTTGAAAAGTGTTTGTAAGCATGAATGGTTATTCCTAGTTGGAAAATATGTATTATCTTGTTTTGATGACATTCTTGGAAAGTCCTTACGTGCCGGAGGACTCTAAGCATTTGCAGTACAAAGTTTGAAAGTCCTTACGTGCTGGAGGACTCTAAGCATTTGCAGCACAAACTTTGAAAGTCTATACGTGCTAGGGGACTCTAAGCATTTGTAGCACAAGTCCTTAGTGCCAGGGGACTATAATGCAACTGCACCATTGAATTGAGATATCTCCTTTGTCTTGCCTTGTTTGCCACTGACGGTTTACCGCGTGGGTTTGTTTGTCCAAGATATCATCGCTTGTACTATAATGATGCTAATAAGCATCCCTTGAAGCTTGAAAGATTTGCTAGATGGACTTGGTTTATCCCTTTAACTTGCACTAATTATGTTATGTATCGTTTGATAAAGATCTTGAATACCAGTCATGCAAACCCCTTTATTATTTATACCATTCACTGAGTATCCAAGCTCAACCCTCTCTATATATATATGTAGGTGACGAGCAGGACGGCGGTAACGCCTAGATGTACTTGCCACTTGTTTTGGATTTTGCACTTTTGTAGCATCTTGAAGATTGTGCTTCTTAGTCGCATTTCATTGTATTTTGTATTTGATGGCTGAGAAGCCTTTTGGTCAAGATGTAGTTTTGTATTCCATTTTGTTGTATTAAAGCTATGAGAAGATGTATGCCATTCCATTTAACTTATGCACTGCTCTTATGGATTACTTAGCTTTGAATTTATTGCTTCCGCATTTGTAAGCCCCATATGTATACTCTGATTGTGTGTGAAATTTTGAAAGTTGGCCTTCGGTAATCTCGGATTACTGGCCATCACGGCACCATTCTACTAGGAGCGGAATGGGGTCGTGACATTCAAAGTGTAACCTATGCATCAGCTAAAATGAGCCTTTGATATCTTGTTGAGCCTGTTTTTGGGATTCATGGATTCCGCTTTTCCTAAACACAAATCTTTGTTGTCCATTCTTTAGTTGTGCTAGTTATTTTCTTGATGGGTGTTATTTCTTCATTTATCCTGCAAAATTTGTTGTAAGAAAAAAATTTAATAAGAACTTAATATCAGGACAACAGATAATTATAATAAATATAAATAAAATTAAAATTACATTACATAAGAGGAAATTTACCAAAATTTACAACAAAAAAAATGAATTATATATAGCCTGCAAGTGTTAGTAGTTCTTCATAAACAACATTTTTTGTGGTATTGTTATCCAAAGCATGTTGATTTGTTGGTGGAATGAGAACTTTAACATTTGCAGTAGTTGTAGCTCGTGATAGAGCAACATAAAAGTTGTCCATGAGAGAATACTGGCTCTCGTAAGTAAACACCTACTTTTTGTAATGTTTGGCCTTGCGCTTTATTTATTGTCATGGCAAAACATAACTTTACTGGGAATTGTGTTCTAGTAAACTGAACTGGGTATTTTTGCTGATCTGAGGGTTACAATGGTATTCGTGGTATGAAAACCATTTTCCCTTTTCGATCCCCAACATCAATTTCAGCACAAATGATGAAATCTTTGAGATCTCGACAAATAAGTCGTGTTCCATTGAACAAGCCTATTAAAGGATCTATGTTTCTTAAAGTCATGATTGGACTATTGATTTTCAATTCTAAATGATAAGGTGGGAGACCATTTGGTTCAAGATAATTCAAGAAGTCTTCATATTGTCCTTGATCATTTGGATCAATTGTCTTGTCGATGCTTGTATATAATCTACCTTTTGTTGGGAATTGTTTGATCAACAAAGCATTTATTTCTTGTACACAATCATTTTTTGGAGTGAGCACAACAGAATTAATCATTGAAATTGGATCTTCTGAGTAGTTCTTGAGATTTGGAAACACAGTTTGAATCAAGTCTTTGATAGAATTTTCAGCATTTGAAAAATTATTGGAAATTATCATAGATGCTGGTAATTTGACCTTGTTTTGATCATTGATTGATTTAGATCCATTGCCATTGCGCAATAAGTAATTGTTGAAGGAAAGATCATGCCTTGCTCGCATATTTTCAGTCAACTTTGTTTCTCAAAAGATTTTCGTAATTCTGAATTGACCAAGCTAGCATTAATTGAATCATATTTTGTTCTTTTGGGAATGACTGGTGGTATTTGTTGAAAATCACCACCCAAAACTACAATTTTGCCTCCAAAGAGTAACTCTGACTCATTGATATTCTTTAACATATCATTCAATGCCTCAATATTTTCCCTCTTAGCCATGGGTGCCTCATCCCAAATGAATAGTTTTACAGTTCTCAAAAGATTTGCAAGCCCAGTTTGTTTACCTATGTTGCAAGATTTATATGTATCTACATCTATAGGTATTTTGAAACAAGAATGGGATGTGTGGCCTCCTGGAAGAATAGAGGCTGCTACTTCAAATGTTGTTGTTGCAAGAGCAATGTAATTCTTGGATCTAATTGCTGCCAACAATGCCTTATATAAAAAGGTCTTACCAGTGCTTCCAGGACTATCTATGAAAAAACACCCTTGATTTCCTAAGAAGACCCTATTTAAGATTTTGTCAAATGTTACTTTTTGTTCTGAGGATAATAGGGAAATAGATTGGTAATCAGCTTCAGAAACAACAATATTCATTTCTTTTTCAATTTTGCGGTATATGTCTTGATTATCAGATGAGATCATGTTATCAAAGCAAATATTGAAATCTTTGATGTCTTTGCCCATTTATTGAAGAGTTGGATTTATGCTTTGTAGAACTTTTTTGAAAATTTCTTCTTTTGAAAGATTTGTTGTTTTGGCATAATCCTCTGCCATGTAATCTAGAATTTTTCCCATAACTGCTTTGGATTATTAGGAGCACAATGAATGAGAATGGTTGCATATAATCTTCTTAGAGAGTAAGGCATTTGGTAAGAGATTGCTTTTTCTAAGCATTGTTCAAGATTGTTGTCTGATTGTAAGAGACCACAAAGAAGAGTAGCTTCCCGAAAAGTTTTTGCTTTTCTTCCATTTATGGTTCTCAAGGTGCAGACTGAAATTGTTGGATTTTATCTATGATTTCTGATTGATTTTCTTGAACAACATGGAATGTAATTTTGTCATGGCCTTTGCAAATATACTTGTACAAATATTTGACAACTTTGATTGTTGAACAAATTTCTACATTAATGTGGCAATCATATTTGGCAAGAAGATATGGATTGTACGAAACTACCCAACGGTTATCCAAAATTTGCCCTCTGATTTTCACTTGATTACCATCAGCACGACACTTGTATATTGGGTATGAGTCTCTAGAAGAGCTTGTCGTAGGTTCAAAATTTTTAGGATAATGATTTTTGCATTTTCCATTCTTCATGCAAATGTTGTTTGGATTCATTTCACCACAAAGTCCATGCATCATGTGGTTAACCACCATAGAAAACAAATGAAGATTTTTTTTTGATCAGGAAGTTCAGCAGATACAATTGAATCATAAGTATCTGGAGATAAAGGCTTTTGTCCAGGTGCTAGAATTAAGAATAGATACATATGTGGAAGACCTCTCTTTTGAAATTCAATGACATAGACATATGCAACGACTTTCCCAAAGATTTGAGACTTGTTTGGTTTGTATTTGAGAAACATGTTTTGAGATAAAAAGTACGAAAATTTGTTTGGTTTGGTTTTTTTTCAAAAGATGTTTTGAAAAATTATTTTGAGAGAGAGTTTTAGAAAAAGTGATTGATTTGATGTGTATGAGAGAGAGATTTGTTTGGAAACCTTGTAAACCAAACAAGTTTTGGAAAAAAAATTTGGAAAAATTTGTTTGGTTTGATTATTTTTGAAAACTTATTTGTAGAGAATTTTTCCTAAATTTTTTTGAGAAACACAAACCAAACAAGGATTTGATGTTTTATGATGTCATCCTTCAGTTGTTTCATTTTTGCTCTAAAAACACGAGAGGTTATATCTAGTCTATTTTGAGCTTCCTCATTAGGTCCTAACTCAGCTTTAATCTTTGGCCATGTTGGATTACAAGTCATTGTAAGAAAGATATCAGGTTTGCCAAATCGCTGGACCAAAGCCATCGCATCAACATATTGACGTCTAAGATCTCTTGGACTACCTATGAATGACGGTGGTAGTATAACCCTATGACCAATCTTTGAACCTACACCTTCACCTGTTTTGATACTGTCTATGATTCCTTGATACAAATCAGCCCGAATTTCTCTTTGTTTGTTTCGAAAGAACTGAAGTCTAGATGTTTCAATCTTGGCATACATATCAACACAATACTGCTTAAAGAGATGACCAGAATGGAGTAAGATTGAAGAATCATTGGGTCATACTTGGAGCTTGTAGCAGTGGTATTCACGACAAAAAATGGTAGTTTTCTTATTTTTTTGTTTTTGAAACACTGAAATAATTTTTTTTTAGTTAGGAGTAAATTTTTTTGAATGCTATTTAATTGATAGGAGAGTGTGCAATTGTGACTACTGCAGATACAAAAGAAAAGTAGTTTAGAAATTGAAAAATAAAAAGCAAAAACCATATTTTAGCAAACAACAGTTATGGAAAAAAAAAAGTAACATTTTATTTTGAGGATTTGTAAGAGAAATTTACAAAAGTTTAATATGTGTATTTATTTTATATCAACTAATTTTAGTAAAATAGTTTTACTTTGAAAATTAGCACTAAATGCTAGAATTATGCAAGACATTTATGAGATCATTAGTATAAGTAAATGAATAAATCATTGAAAAAGAAGTATTTTGTCACGCCCCACTTTTTATTACTCGGAATTCATTACCCAAGCCATTATCATAAATTCCATTTTAGAGATAACACACAGAAGCTCATTATATTTAGAAGAAATACATCAATAAGAGTCCTCTCATTCGGATAAAAATGAATGCAACAAGAGAGTACAATTAAATAATTTGCCTATAGGCTTACATCACTTAAATCAAGAGGAAGGGTTTAACCCTTTTTCATCAATGGCATTCCGCCTACACATAAAAAGGCCCCGTGGCTAACAATTAAGAAAGATCCATGAGCTTGTAGCACATCTCGACATTCACCTAAAAAAGATTAGCAACGTGGGATGAATATATAATCCAGTAGGGATCTCAACATGATCCTCAACAGTAACAACTTATAGATAGTTATGATCATGAATGCTAATCTCATACCATATAAATAATGTGACATTTTCTAACCAACGTATACATACATAAATACTTTTCTCGAAAACGTTCAGTTATTTCAATAACACCAAGGTTCGTTTTTACTACCCATTTCCCATTAAAACAATTATTATACAATGACCACATTTTCCATTTGTGACAAAACACCACATAATAGCCATTTTATTTCTCTTGAAAGCATGTTCACCAAGTCTGATTTCTTCACATTATTAATAATCCGGTACAAAACCCAAGTCCTTTCCCACACGTTCATTGTATTCTCAATCTTAAGTTCGAATTTAACAAGACATCTCCAACAAATAGTTCATGGTAAGAATCTCCCCTCAACCACTCTCTGGCACGTTCAAATATATATGGTCATATCTACTCAAAATACAGGGCAATCCAATCTTACAAAATCTTAATCATCACAACACATGACACACAGTCAAACTAGGACAACAATGATAAATAAACTCTGCTCTACTTGCCTAAAGCATGGCAAGCCAATGATATATCTCTCCACAATAACATGCCAATGATACATCTCTCCACAATAACATGCCAATTTACCAGACACCAGCTGGAAGGGGATGATACCTCTGCTAATTCTCCAGGCGCTAGCTGGAAGGTAATGGTACCTCTGATTCTCAGCGCAGCACACACATTCTCAACCATCACAATATGATAAAGTACAACCAACAAGTGTAATACATACACACAACTAATCAACACAACAATATCATCATCCACCGATGACCAAGGACAAAACCTCTAAACCAAAACGTATTGAATGCACATAATACCATTAACCAATTCTCACGAGGTTTTAGGCCAATAACAACACTACCCCAAGGTTTTATCTATTACTGGACATTCTTTTCTCAATTAAAAGATAGCTATCATTACTTCTTCTTTTGATATTAATTTCCAAAATTCTCCAATTTACAATACATCAACTATACCATCCATAACTCAATATCCATCATTTAGACAATGAAAAATCCAAACATGGATTACACAACCATAATTTACTCAATTTCTACTTAACAAAAGTTTAGCCCAAATAATTCTAATCTCATGGTTAAATCCCTTTTTAACAATTAACCAATTTTCAAATCGTTATCTTTAATTGTAATCAACCTAATCACAAAGTAGATTTTAAGAACCATAAGACCCGATTTAATCACAAATGTACAACCAAGTCATTAATCAACTTCTTTAATTCACAACACCAAGCCAATGTTAAAAATGTCATGAAGTTCGATTTGCCTCTAATAAATCAACAAGATTCATCATTTAAATTCCTAAGCTCATAGCATGCTTATTCCACAAACTAAACCCCTTTTCATCATATGAACATTACTATTTAAAAATTGGGATTTCACCTCTTTCTAAATATAACTATGTTAGTCCACATTCCAAAATACACCCTACAACAATAAATACTTCAAATCTCAACCTTACACAACCCATCTTACGTCCCCATTCATGATTTTCAAAAGGAATCCACAACAACATGGTTTTAATGCAATAGAATATGCCACATGTCTATCTATAGGTGAAGCATTGGATAAAATCAAGGAAATCCCTATCTCAAGAGAGATGAGGAGAAAAAGCTCAAAAATCAACCTCGCCGGAATACGATCTTCACCGGTCAAGACGAAGCCCTCGACACGCTCATCATTTTGGTATAAAGGACTAGCACCAAAATCTCAACGGATTTCTTGAGATCAAAGAAGATACAAGATTTTGAGGGTTTGGGTAAAGACAGATGAAAGAAAATGAGAGAAACATTGTAAAAAGAGAGTGATATATCAGAAAATGAGAGAAAAAAGAGAAAAAACTCAATACATGGCTGTTTTGCACGAAAAATGAGACTGAAACACGCTTGGCCACATGTGCGGCGCCCTCCCCCGTACGTGCGGAGCGGCCTCTCCCGCACGTGCGGCTCTCACCCCCGTACGTGCGATCCTCCCTGCACCACACTTTCGCACCTGCCTTTTAGGCAGTGTGCACACAGCTCAAACCTCAACTTCCCGCACGTGCGGCCTGATCTCCCACACGTGCGGCCCAAGGCCCCGTACGTGCGGCCCTGGCCCTTCAACCCGGAAAAACTTCGGCTTCACCCCCGATACCCCGGAGTTGACCTTGCATCCTCCGAAACGAGTGAAAACCCGGAAAAGAAATAATGCAATCGCAAGAATGTTTAGAGAAGAAATTTTCGACAATGCCTTACCCAACGTAACACAAAGGAAATGAGATGGATTTTGCGCCGGTCATCACATATTTGTTGGTGTAGTTTACAATCATGTGAAAGTTATAATATAAGGATAACAATAATGAGCAAAATGCAAATTGTCTTGGCTAAGAAGGAAAAGAATGTCTTTGACAGTGAAAATGTCCTTGATTTGGTGAAAATTTTTAATTCTCTGTTGATTTTATACAAGTTTTATGAAAGGATTTGACCTCATTTTCACAAAAAAATTCATCAAATTTTAGGGTTTGGTGAAGAATTGGAGATGTTGTAAATAGTTAAAAATTAAAGAGTAA